TGTCCATTGTGTTCTTATAAAAGAAACACCCATTTAGTGCCAGGAAAAATCCTTGTCTTGGAAATGGGCAAAAATTGAAAAATTGAGTGCTTGCTTTTTCTCTGGATATTATTGTTCTAATTTTTTTTTTCACTGAGAATCAGATGCCAATGCTCACATTAGAATATATAATATTACTATGAACATTCTATTTCTGTAATTGAAATTTTCAAAAGCATTTTTGTTGTTGCATGAACTCTTCATTCCTTCAGTAAAAATTTTAGAAATGGAGTGGAAATAATTGCTGGTTTTTTAATGCTTTGACACATGAGACAAAATTAAAAGTGAAATAGAACTTCAATAACAAATTTTCCTTTTTAGATTAGACTAGACACAAGATGTTTAAATAATCAAATACCTTCTCTTCAGTCATTTTAAATATCTTCAAATGCAATACAGTTCTTCCTAAAAACAGTGCATTTGTGCTTCAAATTATTTCTTGTGGCTGTTTCTCTTATATAACTGAAAAAAGTGCCTTAAAAAGTCTGTGGGCAAGTTTTTCTTCCCTGCAATATGGATACCCTCAATTTAAACCTCCCTGTCTTACAAGATACCCTTGATTTAGTGCCACAAAATTTTCCAGATGGTACTGAATTGAGATTTGACAGTGTTCTTTTTGAAAATTAATTTTGATGCCAAAATGATATCATGAGGAATGTTCGCCTGGCTTCTGTGCATATTTTTTGAATTTAGTGCCACAAAATTTTCCAGATGGTACTGAATTGAGATTTGACAGTGTTCTTTTTGAAAATTAATTTTGATGCCAAAATGATATCATGAGGAATGTTCGCCTGGCTTCTGTGCATATTTTTTGGCATGTTGTAGAGTTACAGTGCATGTACTGCTGTATGATGTGCACAAATATCTAAAAAATCATCATTATCTATATAATTGATCATCAGAGCTCAGTCATTTGGTATCTTTGCTGGATGATGAGACAAATTCTCTCAATTCTCTGTGATGATTGCTATCTGCTTGGTTACCCAGGAAACCCATTTAGTGTCCCAAAATGCATCAATCACATGTGCTTTTGAGGTTTATATTCACACATTGTCAAAAGTCATGACTATATTGCAGTGACTACAGTGGACCTTTCGTTAAAAAATTTAATTGGTTCAAGACAAAAGTTGGTGAACCAAATTCGATTTTTCCATGGACTTCAATGAAGAATCATATTCAATGTAAATTTGGTGATAAAAAAACCTACCAGGACAAATATGTAATGAGAATGAGTGACTGCTGTGGGTCTTCATATTGTGTTTAGGGTTGTATATGGAAGTACAGTATATGAGTGTATGACTAATGAAAACAATAATTCTCATCCAGTAAAACCTTCAGGTATGAATTTGGGATAACTGTCACAGTCTGAAAATGAATTGTGATAACCATATTATAATGCTGTAACTAAAGAACAAATTCAGCAGTTGCCCAGTGCTAACCACAAGAAGAATCTACTTGAAAGTGCCTTTTTGTCCACAGCTTGATGTCATTTGTTCAATAATTGATTCTGTTCAATCAACAGAGAACATTCATGACACATTACTCACTTAATATTAAACAAGCATTGAAAATGGTGTGTGAGCCTTTATATGGTCTGACCAATAATTTTTACTGATAATAAGCATGCATCATCCCCCTATTGATTTGTCCATTTGAACTCCAATAAGTAGATGGTACCCTGAAGTCCACTGTCATGAGCAAATTAGAAATTTTTGCAAACATTTTTATGCTTGATTTGTCCATTTGAACTGCAATTAGATTGTTCCCTGGAGTTTACATGTCATAACAAAATTTGGAATTTTTTTCTGCTGGTAGAAAAAGTTTGTTGGCCAAATTTTGGTTTGATAACCAAGGGATTCTTCATGGAGGAAAAAAGTTTGTTAATTGAGGGTCCAGCATTTAATCTCACACAATATTTAACCTTTGAATCTTACCTCATTTTCATTGAGTCTTTGATTTATATGAAGCTTTTATTTACTTTGTGTTCATGAACAGTTGAACCTGGAAAAACCAAACCTCTCTAATTTGAATACCTGCCCAAGTCAAATTTTATTCCAGTTCCTGTCTGAATAATGCATTAAAAACCTCCCTAACTATTAATGTCTTTTTTTCTAAAACCTCTGTGAGTAAAATTTTCTGAGACCTTTTGGTATTGTTATTTCCTTGAAATATGAAAGAGAAAATCAATAAAACAAATAATTTTTTGCATCTTGAAAAGGAGTGAAAGACTAATAGAGCATAATGAAACCCTGCCTCCCAGTTCAGCCAGGTGTAAACTCATCGAAAAGCATGTTTAGGCCCAGAATATCCTCATTTAGGAGATCCTGCAATTTTTTTTTACTTCTCCTCCCAACAAAAATGTTTGTTTCCTTAATTACTGGTAGTCTTCAAAAATCAAAACCTCCCCAGGT